GGGTTGGCGGGGGACGGGTGTGCTACGGGATCTTACAGGAAACTAGACACGGAGAAAAGAAGTTGCCCTTTCCATTTTTTCTTATGGTGACACCCAGCCCTTTGCCAGACTGGCCTCTCCCTCATGATCCTTGTTGCAACTATTGTAATTTACCTGCGCTGACCGTTTTAAGGAGGATCCGTTTTTAAGAGGCCTGTCACCTTGGCCTTTGCATCTTTCTCCATCCCTCCACCCTCTACTACCTTAAAATAAGTACTCCTCCTAGCCATGGACCCACAAAAATTTAATGTCTCAAAGAGTTAGACAGCTAAAGAGGTCTCCAGAAATAAGCATCCAAGGCTACAACCGCCCTTAGGACCCTGCAGTACTCGAGGATGAACTGAGGAAATCTCTGTAATATAGAAATTATACAGTGAAGTAACTGGTGGGTGCGATTGTAATCTTCCAGACTGCATTTGCTTAAGTAGTCTGGCAGTATCCATGTAGCACCAAGGGCAGGAAAGTTATTTTTAAAAACACTTTTTTTTAAGCGACTGGTTTTCTTACCCCAAGGGTGATGTTAAAATGGGCAGAAATCTCACTTGCCACTACCGCAGTTGATGGGAAGGTATTTTAAGTGACTGAGGATGTTGCCTATGACTGTACAGTGCGCACATTAGTGCTTCTGTCTATCTGGAGAGTTTTGCATTAACACAAGAGAGAAGGTTTGGCTTGTGTTTAAAATAACATCACTGCAATTAGGTATCTCAGATTGGTACATGCATAACAGAATGCCACTGCTAACAGTAGTGCATTACAACCCTGGAGTTAATTACTGTTCCCTGCTACCTTAGGAATATGTATGCCTTCTGATCAAAATCATTTTCATCGAGGGGAAATTGAGGAAACCATCATTGAAAACTTTGGTAATGATCACAGCACCTTGGATGGATATTCCAGAAGAACCACACTGTCTTCTAAAATGTATCACACCAAAGGTAATTAAGGACCTTAGGATTAATTCTTCCTTGTTAACACATCAAAAGTGTCTTTTGAGTGATCTTAATGAAATGATGCAGGTTGAGTAGTAACCATGTACTTTTTCCACTGTCTCCTTCACAGGCCAGGAAGGTTCTGTCTGTCTCCGATCATCAGATTGCGCCACAGGATTGTGTTGTGCCAGGCACTTCTGGTCCAAGATCTGTAAACCTGTCCTCAAAGAAGGTCAAGTGTGCACCAAGCACAGGAGAAAAGGCTCCCATGGGCTGGAAATATTCCAGCGTTGTTACTGCGGAGAAGGTCTGTCTTGCCGGATACAGAAAGAGCACCATCAAGCCAGTAATTCATCTAGGCTTCACACCTGTCAGAGACACTAAATCAGCTATCTGAATGCAGTGGACTCCTTTTATATAATATATGCTATGAAAACTTTTTTTGACCTTTTTCAGCTCAATCCTAAGGATGTACAAATTCTGTGGTTTCAGTTAAGCATTCCAATAATACCTTCCGAAAATCTGGAGTGTAAGAGCTTTGTTTCTTTATGGAACTCTCCTGTGATTGCAGTAAATTACTGTGTTGTAAATTCTCAGTGTGGCACTTACCTGTAAATGCAACAAAACTTTTAATTATTTTTCTAAAGGTGCTGCATTGTCTATTGATCCTCTTGTTATGTAAATTTTTGTACACATTGATTGTTGTCTTGACTGATAAATATTCTATATTGAAATGAAATAAATCATTTCAGCTTATAGTTTCTAAATGCATAACTTTTTACCCTTTTAATTCTTTAGTCTAGAATGCAAGGTGCTCTTGGAAAGACAAATGATAGGTATCTAAAATTTAATGTGAAAATGCTAGCCTATTTTCTGAAATGTACTATCTCAATACTTAAATTATATTTCTTTCTAGGATGTGATAGTTTTTGAAATAAAATTTAACATTTAATATTATGAAATCTTACAAGTATAGATAAATTTGGGGATTGTAATCTTAGAGGGGTATGTGTGTATGTATGTGTGTTCTACAGAAATAAATGTGACATGTTTAAAAATGATCAGAGTAAAGATGTTGTCTACATGTCAGACAATATTGATCAGTTCTAGAGTAACTTTAAAGAAAACGTGTTCTCCATTGATAAACCCAAGTTATCATAACAGTATAAGATTGAATCTTACATTACTACTTTCAAAAATAATTTCCAATAAATTAATAATACCTACCTAAATGGTCAATGCTTATCAGTCAAGAAAGGAACTTGTCCACAAAAGTAATAACAAAGCACTTGGTGGCTAGCAGAAAGATGTGTTTGGAAATACAGTCAACAAATACATGCAGGTTTTGTAATGAATAAGTTAATTTGGAGTATCTTAAATACAACTACATGCAAAGAAGACTTGTTCTAATTCCTTTGATTTTAAAATAATTATTAAATAAAAATCAGAAATTCTCCCTTATTCTACTCTCTTCTCTTGCTAGGTGAGTCGAACATTTCAAATTTTGCTTAACCTGACATCTATTGGTTGGAAAAAAGATAAGGGTATAGTGTTTAAAAGAAAACGCACACAAATAAAATCTGAATTATCTTTACATTTTTGCTTGCTAGATTTGATACAGTTTATATTGAGCAAAGGGCAAAGAAACATTCCCAATTTAGGCTTTTTCTTCAATATTCTAAAAGTCTGCATCAGAACCACAAAATGCTAAGTTTAAAGCATTCAGAGGATAGAGTAGTGACTGATCAATTGTCCAAAAAGTTTCCTTAAATAATACAAACGTCCTAGAATGTTTATTGCTTTTGTGTTCCTGGAAGTGGTTCAGTTTCAAGGGGCTCTGCCAATGGGACACCAAGCTTTGGTTGGTTCTTCACTGAGAAGGGAACAGGCAGGATGTCTGTTGTTACATTCCTTTTGTCTGGAAGTCTCAGCTTCCTCACCCAGGAGAAACTTTCTTTTTCTACATGTGCTTCTTTTCTGAAGTGCCAGGAAGCCAAATTCTAAGGCCTGCCGTCTTCAATAAAGCACAATAGAGGAAAGGAAACAGGAAGCCCCTTCTTCAAAAAGAAGAAAGAACAGCCTTGTATTTAAGAGGGGAAAGGAGCAAATGCTTAAAAGGCTCTGATTATTGATCCCTTTCTTTCTACAGGAACCAGCTGTGGCCAGAGATTCTCAATCTCTGCTCATCTCAGTTCATTGACTGTAGCCCTTACTCACTTCTCAAAACCAGATAAAAGATGGAGTGGGAGAATACAAAATCAACCTAGGAGCGATGCCTGTTTTTCCTATCCGACTAAGAAGAAATACATTTTTATAAAGAAGAAATTCTGTATACTTATTAAGCTGAAAAAAATCAAGAAATCTGTAGAAATATTATTAGCTAGTAGTAGAGGCTAGAAGATGAAAGTCAGACTCAATGCAAATTCAAAGAGGATTATTTAAGGTATATAGAAAATTTTAGGTAGTGACTGCTTAAAATTTGTTGTTGCTGCTGAACTTGTAAATGATGTATTTGATTGGAAAATTGATGCACCTGGGAAAATTTCACAAGGCACTTCATCAAATGTTAGTGTACTCTACACACTGCCCTGAACCTTGCTGGTTTTACTCTATGGGTTATGCAGATCATTTTATACAATACTTAGAGAGGTGACTCATTCTTTTTAATGGTCACATTAAGTTTGTAGTATGTTGGAATGGCTAAACCATAATTTATTTAACCAGTCATTGATAGACATTTAAGTTGTTTCCAGAGGTTTTGATCTAACAAATAGTGTGTTGTGGGCATGGAATTTTTGTGTTCATGTGCTGGTATAGTTGTAGGATAACGACTGATTTTTGAAGCAAAATCCCAAATCAAGCAACATGCTTCCTATAGAAACGCATAAAGTCTTGGTTTGGGCAGAATGTCAACATACCTGCTTATCACTGATCTAGTGATGATTAAACTCTAGCTAAACTGTATCAAAGGAGAAAAGGGGAAATACAGGCTTATCGTAACAATTTTACAGTAAACAGTAATCTCTGGTATTCAGTTAAAGATAGGTTTGCTCTAATTACCTTGTTTTTCAAATAATTAGTAAATACAATCACAAGTTGTTTCCCCCACTCCCTTTTCTTGTTTTGCTAGAAGAGTTGAGTATTTCAAACTTTGTTTAATCTATTGATAGGAATGAGAATAAAGATATATTGGGTTTGTTATTGTTTTTCAGTCAGAGTCTTATTCTGTCAATCAGTCCAGAGTGCAGTAGACAGTCACCCACGGCTCACTGCAGACTCAACCTCCTAGTCTCAGGGGATCCTTCCACCTAAATCTCCTAGGTGGTGGAACTACAGGTTCTCACCACCACGACTACTTAATGTCTTTGTAGAGATGAGGTTGCACTATGTTGCTTAAGCTAGCGTTGAACTCCTGTGTTCAACTTGACCTCCCAAAATGCTGGGATTACAGG